GAGGCATAGAGTGAGAGGGAAGATTCCAAGTGGCCTCGGTAACATAGGTATCAATTGGTGCCAATCTAGCCTGTGGCTGTTGACAAGGAACTTAGTTCTCTTCCACATCGTAACTTTCTCTATGTGGTTATTGGGCTTCCTTGCAGCATGTAATCTCAGGGTTATCACACTTCTTATATGGAGCTAACTTCCATGAGCATAATATCAGACGCTGCCAGGCCTTCTGAAGCCTTAGGTATGGAATTGGCATAGCATTATATTCTGTTGATTCAAGTGATCAGAGAGTCCACCTGTATTCAAGGGACAGAAGGAGGGGGAAGAGGGACAAATTTCACAAGGACATGAATACTTGGAGGCTTAGTTATTTTCTTTCCCTCAAGACACTGAGATATATATATATATTGGATCTACTTAAGAAACATAGAAAGTTGGTTGCCACAACCAGCACTGTTCCAAAGGTCTGTGATATGTACAGTGCTCTTCGATCTTGTCTCTGGCTCTGGAAGGTCCTTGGCCTCATAGTTTTTAAGGAGCCTCTGTCTTTGTTACACACATTGAGTGGAGTAGGGTTGGGAGGTGACTACCCCAACTTATTACAAACCAATGCATATCCTCCACTATATATGCAGATTTTTTTTATCAGTAAATACATAGATTTCAATAAAAAGCAGGTTCTTAGGCAAGCAGAGCACCCTTTGAGGGTAGGTAGGAAAAGTGTCCTTATATCTGAATGACTATAGGACTAAAATACCAGTGATAAGAACTTTCAAACTGGGTCTAAAAATAGTACCTCACTGTAAAGTTAACCTTCACCTTAAGGGAGAAAAGAAAGTAACTGAGAAATAAATTAATAGCATGGTCCCCACAGCCCAACCCACACACAAAGGCATAGCCTTTAAAAATCTATAGCTTTTAAAAAGCCATGAAGGTTTCCTGCCACCAGTGAACTTCTCCTCACTCAATCGTGATGCCATCAGAGTTGCTTTTGGGGTCATCGTGAACTCATTACAAAGTTCTTGCTAAACAAGAGATTGGTGACAATTCATGGATGACTTGGTGGGAACTTTATGGGGATTACACCTGTGAGGAGAACTCAAACATTGCACAAAAATGAACAAGAATGTAATATATATTTGTGTGTATACATACATACATATATATGTATGCATATGTATGTGTGCATATAGATACACAAATATGAAAATATATTTAATGAAATATATTTATACATATATGTATATATTTGTACACATATATGTGTGTGCATATATGTACATAAATATGGAAATATATCTAATAAAAAGATGAATTAGAAATTAAAAAAAAATTTCTTGCTAAAAGGGAAATTTTGTCAGCTGAAAGATTCCTATTAGTTCCCAGCAAAACTGGCAAACATCAAGGTTCTGAGGGAATGAGCCAGATGTCACAAAACAGGATCTTTTCGATGTTACAGGATAAAGATCCGAGCTGAGACAAAGTCCAGAACTGTTTCTCCACCCTGAACCCACTCACTGCATGTAAGTCCAGCCAAAGGGCCCTGCAAGTTATAAACTGAGCTCACATGTGGCTTCAGGATCCTTCTCAACACTCCAAAGAAGCCCTACAACAGCCTAGAGCTGGTCCTCAAGGGGAGATTAGTTTTCTATCCCTGGTGAGGATATGAAGTATTTTCTCTTTCCCCAGGAAGTTATGAATATTTATTAGGGTTCAGATAATACATCAGGGCTCTCTGCTTCAAGGCCTGGGCTTCAAGCCCAATGGTGAAGCCATGCTGCGGGAACAGTAGAAAGGGCCAAGCTGACAGACGGCATCTGGACTCGATGGTGACAGCAGCCCCGGCTCCCAGGCCTGCAGCTCAGCCCCGCATGCAAAGGAAAGGAATCCATCTCTGTTTGCAGTCAAAACAAAAATTTATAACCTAAAACTGGACCCCACCCCAGCTATTTACAGCATGAACCCAGGATTCAAAAGTGCCAGGTGAGGTGTTTATGACAACACTGTCCAGAGGCATAAATGGCAATTACTAAAATTATAGGTGACTCTGCTATTTAGGGGTGGTGACACACATTTCTAAATCGGAATGATGCTTGGGGTGGTGGAAGCCCTTGACATTCCAGCTACCCTTCCTAAGTCCGCACAACATTAAAGATACTTGGGTCTGACTGTGGATGGCCTGAGCACGTGTTGGTACTTGCAATTCTGTGCCTCTTAAACAAGACGGCACTTTGTCATGAGTCTCGGCTGCTCATAGATTTTGGAGAATATTTGCCCTGGCCAAAGAGTTGAAGCATTTCAGACTACAAACCAAATGTTTATTTGTGGAATTTAGCCTTGCCCACAGTTTACCAAAATAACAAGAAAACTAGCCTTTTTCTATGTCTGAACTATGTTTTTCCCATCATATTCTTGTAATGCTGGGAAGATATGTGTAAGTAAAATTGCTCCACAAACATATACTCCTCTAAAAAAGACAGCAGGACCATAACTCATGGGAAAAGTCAGCCATGTTTTCCCTGAAAGATATAACTAATAACAGAGATGTGTATTTATGTTTATTCTCACTATTGTCTAAAAATGATGATAAGTACTTAATTGCTCTGTATTTTAGTGACAATATCTTTGTTTCATTCAAAGCAAAGGGAGAATGACAAAACCTACACTCTGACTTCTAAAATAATACTAAAATCACAAAAATAACTGTAGTGGAAGTTTATTGTATTTATGTCAAATGCTATCATTTTGAGATCTTCTGTGAAACTGACTTAGTTCTGCAAAACATGTTTAAGAGAGAGAGAGATGGGATTTGGGGTTAGTGGAAAGTGATGATTCAGACAGAGCAAGAAGAACAGAGAGAGACAGGCAGATGCTATTGGAGAGGAAGGCGGGTGTAGAATAGTGAAAACCGTAAGAGGAAAACTTCACCTATGGTAATTCATCTTCCCATTAAAGAGCTTCTAGATCACAGGGCTTAAAGCTGGTATATTGTCTATACCAAGTCAATTGAATTCTAGATAATTAAATGTAGCTTAAGAAATAAAGGAATTAGGAGAAGTTATAAGTAAATAATCTGGAACTGAATTAGAACTTTCTTATTATAACTCCTAAGGTAGAAATCATCAAAGAAACATTTATACATCTCAGTCTCTGTACATTAAAAACCATAAACAAAATGAAAAAGCAAGTGACAAAGATACCAATTGTGATTATGTAGATAATCACAAGAGTTAGGGAACCTACAAATTTGAAGAAAAAAAAAAACTTAGTGGGGGAAATGGGCATATTACAAAGACGAGCAGTTAGCAAAAAAAATACAATGGTCTAGTGGCCAATGTTCTACATCACTAGATATCAAAGATGTCAAAGCACTGAGGTGACTTTCATGCTATTACATAATTAAAAAGAAAAAGTCATCAAAGATGTGGGAAAACAGAGTGCAGAGTGCAGTTGGGCACTTTGACAAACATTGTAAATACCTTTTTTTTAATGTCATAATTTTTGACATAATGACTCCATCTCTAGAAACTTACTTTAAGGAAATATTAAAGTTGTTTGCAAACATTTAGCTAATAAGATTAGATTGTAGATATACTGTTTGTGAAAAAAGAAGAGTAAGGCACAATACACATAGCCAACCATGGGGAATTCTAGAACCTCTATATAATGGAACGTTAAAAGCCACTAATGTGAAGCTGTGGTAAGAAGTTTAATGACATAGAAAGTATGTATTATGAAGTGGAAGAAGCATAAACAGGCTGAAGTGAGAAAAGCACTGAAGTACTAGTTACTCTGTGTAGAATTATCCCATCTTGGAGGGGAATACACACCCGCACACACACATACACATTTGTACAGAAATTAAATCTATGTATATCAGAATATCTGGTTAACTTAAAAGTGTAGATTTCTATTTTCTTTTTTGTATTTGTATTTTCTGAAATTTCTACAGGCATTTTATTATTTCCAGAGAGAAACAGGAAAGGTTTTTTAAAATGATGTTGTGGATAGAGTTAATGACACTGAAGTGTATTTACAATATTTGAATAGAGAAAGGAGAACATCAATAAATATGTGTCAATTGTGTATTTAGAGACAAACATTATGTATCATGCACAATTTTAAATAAATTAAACATTATATCTTACCTGCATATATAAATCAATATCATGCAAAAAAAAGTTGAAAGAATATACAAAAACATGGTCAAAAATATCAGTGATTATTTCTGGTTATTATAATAATGAGTGGTTTCAGGAATAGAGTGTGTATGTGTTTTCTCTATTTTCTAAAATATTTTACGCAAATTTTCCATTTGTAATAGGCAGTTATTTTATAACAAACTTTGAAGTATCATGAACGCTTCCAGAACATCAGCCCTGCCCCAGCTTCCAGTGCATCTGTCATTCTGGGCCCTTCACACTCCCTCCCTGAGTTGGAGTTATCAGGTCCTGCTGATCTGTTATAACACACTTTGCACCTGGCCCTGTTTCCCTGCCCTCCCTCTAGCTTTGATGTCCATTGTTCATTCTTTCCTAAGGCCAGTTCCTGTTCAGAGAAGCCTATCAACACCCCCATCCTTCATCTGAAGTTGAAGATCCCCCTCTCCACTTATCTCACCCTATCTTCCTTTATATATCCCCTACATTATCCATCACAGTCAAATTGTTCTATCTGCATTGTTCCAAAGGCACTCTGAAAGTCTCCCCACTTTCTTTGTGTTGAAACTACCCCAAATACCACCTACCCTGTAGACCTCTTCCCTTCTCTTTTTTTCCTTTGAGGCACAACTGAAAATCCACTTTGGGATTCCCATCCCCATCACCTCAACGAAAACACATTTCTCCTTTTCAGCTGGTTCACATTATCTAGAAAATGACAATAGCAATACAAATAATCATTTTTACCTTCCCTATTATGTTGATTGTATTCCTTTATATCCTTCTCACCTGGTAAGTAGGCATTAAGGTTTGGACACAAACAAAAGGCCATCCAGACAGGAGACGGGTACATTTCTACCAATACAATCCTTTAATAAGCGAATAGATCAGCATTCAGTTTAAACGAACAGACACTGTTCCATCCTTCCTGGGGGTACCATACCTGGTCGACTGGGGTCCCTAACAGTACCCCACCAGCCGGAGCGTGTTGGGGAAGCTCTTGCGCATGCTCATGCATTTTTCCTGATCGATGTACAGGGAGTTGGCTTTGACAGCCAGGTCGTGCTCCAGAGTGGCTTTGGTGTGGACCAGTGACTGCAGGGTGTCCTCTGCGTCCCTCAGGCGCTGCTGCAGGGTCTGGATGGTGTCATCCACCTCATACACCTCGTTAACAAGGCTGTGCAGGGAAAAAGCGCTGGGTTAGGGTAGCAGAGGTCACACTTCCTATGTGGTCATTAATTGAATTTAGGGAATGGGTGACTGAACTCCCCCTGGAGACATGGCTGCTGCGCTGGGTGCACATGGAATCCCCAGCAGCACACAGATCAAACCAACCTCAGAACCACTTCATCTCACAAAGCTGCAAAGGAAGCAACAGCTGTGCAGAGTCCTAGTACCCAGCCAGGGCCACTCCCATTAATTACAACCAGGATCCGAAAGATAAAACTGTGCAGATCTGGGGGGTACTAGCAAATTTTCATGCACACATATCTATGTATAGTCACACAAGCTATGTATATTAAATATTATATTTACAAAGAAAGAGAAAACTTTAAAACATTTGGTTTTTTAATTAGTAAAAATAAGAAAAATCAAAACATAGCTGGACTTGCTCACATTTATTTTCGCATTGATGTCAGTCAGGAAGCAGGGACACCCACCTTTACTCAATGCTTAGCATTCAGCCCAACCCCCAACATAGCCTGGGGAGACTTGGAGGCCAGCACTCATCAAATTATTGCACCCCCCCCCAACAATGTCCCCAGATAGCCTCAAGATCCTAGAGTAAACATTTGTCAAGAGTGAAAAATCTAAAAGATCATGACAATGATAACGTGTAAAATGAGTTACATAACTCATAAAGCAAGCTGCAATGCCAATTATGTATGATGATGGAAACATGACATTTTTCATTAAGACAGGAAGGAAAACAGGTATCATTTCACGTAAAAATCTAGCATCCATAAGATTTTAAATTTTCATAAGCAAAGTCATTCTTTTTCTTTGTGATTTCTTTCATTGTGTTTATACCCAGAAAGTCTTTTCTTAAAGAGCAATTAAGCAAGAGCTCCTTTACCAGTTGGCCAATAATATCTCAGGGACAATAATACAAAAGAAACAGGAAACAGATTATAAAAAGACATATATGAGATATATATATATATATAATCCTAAGTGTTTTACATGATCAGACCATTTAGTTCTCATAACAACACTGTGAAGCAGATACTACAATTATCCTCATTTTACATATGAGGAAATTGAGGGACAAAGAGTTTAAGTAGCTCTCCTCCCAATTTTAGGCATAACTACCCATCAGCTGCTTTAATTGCCATGCAGATCTCCTGATGCCTGTCAGTTCAAAATACAAATCTAAATTCAGTTGAGGCATACTGGTCCCCCACCCCACTTAGCTATGTTGACAGGCTATGATCATTTATCACCAGACTATGAATGCAAGACGTCAGTTAAAATATATAGTAATATAAAGAAACAATGACAATGAACAGAGATACGAACAATATTTCATGATCACATAAAAATATCCAGACCACGTTGAATGAATTATACCAAGGTAATATTATAGCTTCACAGCTAGAGATGAAGCGTTAGCAGTCATCAAACCCCGCTTCCTGTTTTACAGACATTAATCCCTAGGAACTGAACTTTCCTAGAGCACCAGGGCCACGTGTGTTTATACACCCAAGATAGGCAAACATCACATCTCCATGCCAGGGCCAGAGACCAAGTAGAGACTGTGTGGAAACACCCCCTGGAGCCCCTCTGCCATGTCTGCTTTCTCACCACACTCTCCTGGCGAATCTTCCAGGCCAAGATCCAGCTAAAATCCAGGCTAAGATGGGGTATGAAGCAGTTACGTCACCACAAGTTACCTGTGAGTCTCATCTTAGGCAAAGTGATGTCATCCTTGCAGATACTAAAACCAGGAGCCTTCTGATCATCTCGACCCCGTCTACTTCCCCCACATCCCTCAATCACTAAATCCCATTCTCTCTGTCTCTGTAACAGCCTCACTGCATGCCACAGCGCTTCTCCCTTTCTGCTCTACAGGTTCTTCCATGAAGGACCTTGTGCTCTCACTGACCTTCACTCCAGGTCCCCATGGCCTGGAACCCTACTCTTAACCCTACTCTTCACCCCACCAATTTCTTTTTTTAAGATTTATTTATTTATTCATACAGAACTGGGGTACAGGCCAGAGATGCAGAGGGTAAGAGGATTCACCAGAGACAGAGTGGGGAGC